CCAAGCCTACTATGCCATAAGTTCAAACCATAATCTTTAGAAACAGTACTAGAATAAGAAACAACTGTTTTCCCAATTGATGTTGGTTTGCTTTGGACATTTCTTTCAACTTCATTTACTTTGCTACAAGCTAAATTGAAGTAGTATAGACCCACATTAAGTTCCCCTCTCAGCAGTATTGTTCTTGTTCCCTGATCCTTCACAACACAATATTGAGGATGGGATTCAAAAAATACTGAGTTATCCTGAGCAAACTGAGATACACTTAACAAGTTCTTGGTTATGTCAGGCACATGTAATAAATTCTTAAGAAGGAAAGTGCAATTATTAGAGGTATCTCCTTTGATCAGGGCATTACCAAGATGTGTGATGTCCAATCCTGCTCCATTGCCCATAAGAACTCTCTCATTTCTAGAAAAGTCTGAAGCTACACTGAGGTTACTGAGGTCATGAGTGATGTGGTTGGTTGCACCTGAATCAGGGTACCAATAGGCTTGAGAGCCATCTTCATTAGAGCCTATGCTTGCCACATTTGCCATGGTAGATCCTTGATCATTTCCATAGCCATTAGAGTTTGGGTGGGGTTTCCACTTCTCTGGTTGTTAGGGACAAAGTTCGAATCTGCCCTATACCAGCACTTTGCAGCAGTGTGACTTTGCAAGTGACAAATTTGGCATCTGGTCCTGCCTCCTGACCTTCCTCCTCTACCTCTAAAAGGTCCATTTCCTCTTGCTCCTGATCTTCCCCCTCTGTTGCCAATGAAATTGGGATGGCCCCTTCCTCTATTTCCATAGCCACCTCTTTTAGATGAGCTGCGAACAGCTGAGTAATTTGCATTGGGATTAAAGCCTTCAAAACCAAAGTGAGGGTTTTCAAAAGTCTCAAGTCTGCTTTCAAAACTTAGCAAAAGGGCATGCAGCTCCTTCAGTCTGTAGGGTTCAAGCCTTGCTCCTACTGAAACCGTAACCTGGTTGCATTCACTTCCAAGGCCAGCTAGGATATGTGTAACCTGTTCATCTTCAGTGATCCTCTGTCCAGCAACAGCAAGACCATCACAACAAACTTTCACCTTGTTGAGGTACTCAATCATGGACATGTTCCCCTTCTTTAAGGTTTGCAGTTGTAGTTTAAACTACATGATCTTGGCTCGAGATTGACTTGAAAAGGCAGTTTCCAAACTATCCCAAATTTCAAAGGCTGTCTCAAGGCCAACAGTGCTAATGAGGATGCTTTCAGAAAGTGAGGACAAAAGCCATGATACAATGAGTTGATCTTGCCTATTCGATGTGATGAGTGCAGGGTTGGAGATGATATTACCATTTTCACCAGGGATAGTAGCAGCAGGTGGTCTTCCTCTGGTGATGTATTCATCCAGGCCATATCCCTTGATTGCAGCCAACACTTGTTGTTTGCATACCAGGTAGTTGCTCTCTGTTAGTTTGACAGTGATAATCTGGGACTGTAACTGGACAATAGTTGGTTGCTCTGCAGCCATTTTGAAGTGGGGAAAATGAAGAATGTAGTGAGTTGAAGAGGAAAATGGACCAGAGACTTCAGGATTAACCTGAAGCTCTGATACCATGTGAAATTTTGAGCAGAAATAAGAAAAACATGAAGAACAGTGAAGATTTCTTTTCATTCATTTTGCACTGAATACAATGGTGATTCTCTTGTGATCTAATTCATCATACAAAGGCTGCTGCCAATGATGGCATATATATATATATATATATATATATATATATATATATATATATACTGAGAGCAATAAGGAATAATCTGGAATTTATGACCTAGCTACATCAAATCTCAACCACACAATTAATAGGATAAGGATTGGTTGAGTTTGTTTGTCTTCTTGTGCAAGGTAGTACATCAGCAGGCATGGCAAGTGATGTTTCCTTGTTTGCTGCCAAGGGCCCAGCTGCTCTATCTAACATGGCAGTCCACCTGTAAATTTGCATGTTGCATAATCTAGCCAACAGGTACTATAATTCTACCCAAACTTTATTCAAAACCAAGTCATCCCAATTTTACGCACTCATGTCGAACAACTATATGAAAAGGTTAACATTTTAATATATATCAATATTATTGAGATTAAACTCATAACTCCTACAATAATTACTCGTGCATCGCACGAACTGCACACTATGTAGTAATACAATAAGATTGCATTATAGTATTAAATATAGGAGCATGTGATTGTCTACGCTCAAACGGAAACAAGGGAAGGGACACATATTTTCACATTGCACGTTTGGAAAACAAATACCAAGGTCAAAACTACTAGACAAGAAAGGGTACAAACGAGGATTTTTGGTTTTTGTGATAATTTGCCTACAATTTTAAGTTCCCCTAAGCTTTTGGCCGTTTGACTCAATGGTGAGTTCTCACCATTTAATTTAGAGCACTTCTTTTTTGTTGAAAACAAAAAGGGTGGGAAAACTCTTGGTACGGTAAACTAATAAGTTGAAGTGTTAATGCAAGAAAATTTGAGAAAATTCATACTTTTATGAGGTTTTTTAGGAAACTTCAATTTCGGTAATGACTTTTTCAATAAGCAAGAAAATTTGCGGAAATTCATGATCATGGATTTTTCACACTGCTGCAAAATCCAAGATAAATTGACTTTTGCCTCGCTCTCAAGCGTAGTAATAACAGCCCTAATAATTTCTGAATATATTTCAGGTAAATATAAATAGTAGGGTACATAAAAGTTCGAAACAAATTGGAATTAAGTCAGCGTGAAAGCGTGTGAACATTTTTTTGAATAAATAAAAATAAAATTCTTTTGCTCAAGATGATTTTACCGTTCACTTAGATGTAGTTATTTGTCAATTAGTGCTTTACCTTAAAGTTGTACTTATGAGATCTTACATAAACTTTTTTTATAGGCTTTTACACTTCAGCTTATGGTTTATTTTTTCATATAATTCTAGTCACTTATCTTTTTTATTTCCTTTATTTATTTATTGAGAGGGTATATCAAGATTGAGTGAATAATTAATTAAGGCTACAGAAAATCATCGCAAATCCTAGCTCAAATCAAGTGATATTTCCATAATCCTTGTTTTTGTTTTTTTATTTTTATTTTTTTGTAAGGGGTTGTTTCAATTTTTAATTATTTTGTTTCCATAGGTTAGCCTAGTTGATAGAGTGATCTAGAGTATATCCAATACTTTGATTTATTTGAAAAATATCTAGCCATTCATGTGAAACAATTAGCTCCAATGCCGAAAAAAAAAATATTTATAAAATTAGATATAGATGATATATGACAAAAAGTAAATGCATGTATCCCTATAAAAATTATTAGGAACACCTATAAAAATATGTACTCCCATAAGCAATCCAATACAATAATTAGACACTTCCTGAAAAGGTGTTTAATTATTGTTATTTAATTTAATAATAAATATTATGAATATAGATTATCTATATAGTGTGAGATAAAGATAAAAAGAAAACTATGGTAAAAGTAGTCTTTGAAATAAACAAACCCCATTTAAAAACTGTTACAATTTGGTAAACATATGAAAAATAATGCAGCAATATAATGTACAAATTACGTCTTCTATTTTCGTTTTTTACTTCTGAACCATAAAAAGAAAAATGACACAGAGGAATTCAACCAGCCATGAGAGGACATATATATTTATGGTTAGACTTTGACCACGAACAATTTTTATTTTTCTTTTTCTTTTTTAAGAATTATTCCTAAACAACTGACAAGTCAGTGGAATAGAAGCTTATAAGAATGGAATAGAAGTAGTATTTTCGGATCCTGAGACAACTGACTCCACTAAACAATATATATACACATATATTAATAATAAAATTAATTTTATTGTACGGTTAGACTTTAATACAAGTTTGTGATTTCGCATTGGGAATTGATTTCAATTCCTAATCTCCAAGTAACATTTCAAACTCCACACGATGTACAAATTAAATACCATGCATTTTGAAGCTTTGCTTTGTCTTGACTTGAAAGATAATTAATAACATGAAGTACTTATAATTATTAATTGAAAGATAATTAATTACTTATAGTTATTAATTATAGGAGCTCAATATATATTATAGCATCCTAATCTCAATGAGAGCTGACGAGACTAATTAACCTTGAGAAGCCTCAATTTGATTTGACCCTTACACAAGATTTGGCTCACGAGTCAAACACCCCCATAACTAAGTCCATAATATATATATACACACACTATTAGATATTTAGATAGTTTTACTTTTAAACGGTACTTTAAAATTGAACTGTACGTACACTAGAAAAAAATAATATAAATAAAATTTTGATAATTAATTGCATAATTAAGCAGCTTTAGTGAAAAAGTACTAACAGTTAGCTCGCTAGATACAAAATTTGGCTAATGATCAGATAACTATGACATCGCAGCGCATAATATATACTATCTCTTATTTTTTCTAAATGTTATTTTAATTTTATCAACTATTAATCAAATAAATGACGTTTTGGATATTTTGTACATATTTTTTCATTATTACCTTCATATAGCTAATAATTATACTACGTCTTTTCACATTCACTGTTCATCTTTTCTCAAAACAGTCATCTCTATCTTCATTAATTAGGATTATTATTGGCGAAAAAAATATTCTTAATTATTGTGCAACTTCTCAAAACGACACTTATTAAAAATATGAAGGAGTGTAATTCAACAAATATACATAATTTTAAATTAAAAAAACCATACTCTTAAAAAACAGCATGGACTATGAAATAATTTTATAGTATAAGAATNTTCGGGCCCAGACACTTTCCTCGGGCCGACTGCCATAGATATGGCTTCATATGAATTTAAGTTCAAAAAACTTGTCTAGCACTCATTTTTGTGTCCATCTACTTATTATTAATAAGTTAAATTGCATGCTTCTAACTCACTCATAGTTGTGTCTTAATATAACTACAAGTTCAAAAAAGTATATATTTTTTCCTCTTCTTTAGGGTTTGAATTGAAAAGATGGATCAAGAGAGAAATATCGAAAATGAGAGAACAGACGAATTTATGCTGCCCGGTTTCAGATTCCATCCAACGGACGAGGAGTTAGTAGGGTTTTATCTGAGGAGGAAAATTACGCAAAAACCTCTCCCCATCGAGCTCATCAAGCAGCTCGATATCTACAAATACGATCCATGGGACCTTCCAAGTTAGTGAAAAAAAATCGAATCTTTTTTGCTTATCGTCTAAGGGTTTCCCTTTTCTAGCTTCAAGAATTAGTAAATAATCTTGTTTTTGTTAGTATGCATGTTGTTATTAATTTTTGGTGTCATTTTATTTCTTGTATGAGATGTATATGGTGCATTCTTAGGGTATACGTTAAATAAATGAACTTATTTTATTTTAATTCCCACTATTTTTTTTCTTTATTATTATTTGGTTCTCTTTTATGTGAATTCAATATTTTACATAACATGAAACTTTCTTATATGTGCAAACTATCTTTTTTTTTTTAATTAATTTCAATTAGAGTTGGCAACTACTGGAGAAAAGGAGTGGTATTTTTACTGCCCTAGGGACCGAAAATACCGAAACAGCACCCGACCTAATCGTGTAACAGGAGCTGGCTTCTGGAAAGCGACCGGTACAGATCGGCCTATTTACTCATCCGAAGGCTCGAAATGCATCGGCTTGAAGAAATCTCTTGTTTTCTACAAGGGTAGGGCTGCAAAGGGGGTTAAGACCGATTGGATGATGCACGAGTTTAGGTTACCCTCATTTTCCGACCCGATTATGACTAAGAAATACTCGGACAAAAGCATTCCTCCCAATGTAAGTTGCCATAAACCCTAAAGCCTTAAGATATGTTTGGTAATAAACCGTGTTGAAAAGCTAGCTGATAGCTTATAAGTGAATTTTGAGTTCATGGCTGAAGGTTGAAATACTAGCTAGCTGATATAATAAAAGTGTTTGATAAAATTAGCTGATAACTGAGGAAACTTATGAGAAGGACTTGAGATATGTTCATATTCGTTTATCTTTATTTATTTTTTATTTTTTGCAATTTTTTCAGGAAGCGTGGGCAATATGTAGGATTTTCAAGAAAGCAAGCTCGAGCTCTCAAAGAGCCATATCTCATTCTTGGGCTTCTTCGCCTGTCTTCAACGTCACAACATCATATGACCACCAAACAATTATAAATCCTTCCCCACATGTAGTACTCAACAACTTCGATTCGGTTACGACAAACCTAACAACCTCAATGCCGAACAAACAAAATCCGAACCTCCAATACGGTTCTTCCAACAACATGATCGAGCAAATATCGTCCGTCATGAGTTTCCCTCCGCTACATGAGCTTCCACCCTGCAAACCTGCACTGATTCCTCCGATATTGGAAAATGATATTCACAAACCAAACGGGACCTTACGCGTTCATGAAATACCCGAGCAGGGTCGAACTTGTCCTTTCCGAGACGCATCTTTCTTGTCACGAGACATGTCGAGTTCTTTCCTCGGTGGATATCTGAAGGGTTCGGACAACAATGGGAATATGGAATTTACAACACAATTTAATGAATTTTCGGCTCATGCGAACGTGCAAGAAGATGGGGTTTTAGTCACGGATCAGATTAATGTCACGGGACATGAATTAGGTGATGACGATGCGTGTGGAATGATGATGACGATGATGATGAGTTCATCGATGGAGTATTCTTGCAATTTGCCATCATTGAGCTTGTCCGAAAATGGATTGAAGTCGGGTTTGGTGTGGGATTATGCATCTCCTTGTCCGAGTGACTTGTCGACTAGTTATTCGGCAAGCAATTGCTACACTTGATTGGTGGGAATATCATATGATGATAAGTTTTAGTCCAATGTTCAAGTTTTGCAGTTTTCTTTAGATGTTTTTATTGGTGTTGTTAATTTAGTGTTGTTGCATTTTGTTTTCTGGTAACTGGTAAGATGTGAGTAGTTGTTGTTGTAAAGAGTAGAACATGACCTAGGACTTTAACTTAAGTCGACTCTTGAAGTTTTAGTGAATTTTCTTTCCTTTAAAATTCGCTTTATGGAGACTATCTTTCAAGTTTAGTCTTTATATTTAATCTATTATTATTATTATTGATTATGTTACTCATTATGAAATTATATTTCAACTGGTCTTTGAACTTGCAATTGGTGCACATTTCATTTCATACAAGAGTATATTTCACATTATATACTCTCTTGATCTAGAGAAACAGATTTTATATTGCGTGGTCTTTAGAATTGGCAGTCGGGTTTGGTCGAGCTATTTTTTTTTTCCGGATTCGTTTAATAATTCGTGTGGATGCTAACAGCGGGTTTTGACCAACAAGATTGATTAATTTTTGTAAATAACTGTGTCTATTCAGCTTAAATCTGATTTAAAGTAAAGCATAATTCACCTTAAATCCAACCCAATCTCGAGCTAATAAAATTCAAATCCATCTCAAACAATTGTATACATTTTAAGAGTCATGAGTCGTGTTAAGCCTTAACAAGCTTGGGTTAAGCCGAGGCACCAATGAAAAAATCAAGCCGAACAATACTCAACTCATAATTTAGTATGTAGCAATAATTGAAATGCAATTAGTTTTTTTGGTTGACATGTAAATAAAAGTATCTAAAAACACTTTTGCATCTTCAATTTACTGCAAGACATTGATGATATATATCATAGTGTAGATTGTCTTGGTCCAGCTAGTTGAAGAAAACAGGTTTTTCATTTTCTAAAAAAAAAAGGAATTTTTTTTCCCAGCTGAAATCCCAAGTGTCATACTTGAGATCATTGCACAATCAATATGGCTTGCAAAATGCAGCCATCCATCCCCATCTGCTCATCATATTGAAAACAGGGAAAGCAATTTCAGATTAGAATCCTTTGATTTCTAATCCAACAAAATATTATAAACTACTAGACTCAAGATTTCAATAAAACCAAAATCCTTTAAACCATATCACTGCAAAAATCCAAACAGAACTCAAAGGGGCATCAGATGACTGAGAATCCAAAATCCTAGAGAAAAAGATGATTGCTCGACAAACTGAAGAAAAATAAAATAAGTCATATTCCAAAGAATCCCAACAAAAATACAGATATAATGCTCCAAAAACTTCGATACAGTTCCATAATCGTATCCACTCACATTCTAGCTTAGCTGCTCTTGGAAGCAAGTTTTTCCTTTGCTTTCTGAATCTTCAATACCTTCTTCACAATCTTCTGTTCCTCTACCAAGAAAGCCCTAATGATCCTTTTAAGACCAAGAGAGTTCAATTTTTCAAAAACTCAACAAAACAAACACAGAGAAAAAACATGTATCTAAAATTTAATTGTCTATCATTTAAGCACGAAAACAAACAAACAAACAGACAAACAAACCTTTCTCTCACAGCAACACCAGACAACACTCCACCATACGGACGATTCACAGTCCTCCGGTTTCTAGGCAACCTCGATCTCTTGTACTCAGCAGGTCTCAAATGAGGAATCTGAAAAACATGCCAAATTCATCAGAATGAACTCAAATGTCATGGGAATTTACCAAATTCAAGGGACATTGCCAAAAAACTTCAAAACAAAAATAATTGGAAAAAAAAAGCCATTTGATTATGTTGCACAAGATCATACCCATTACAAGATGTAACCATCCACAAGCTCTAAAAGATTTGAATTTGAAATGACATTTGGTGTGGCATAACACTTCAATCAGAATCATCAATTAAGGAATACAAAAAACATACAGAATGTGCATTCACAAACCATTAACTGATGTACTGTCGACTATTTTAAGAGTCACTATAGCAAGCACATTGTCCATCCCACAAAGTAACATCATAATAGCCTTGAATACATAATAATACACGGCTTTACTAATCCAGATCAAAGATTCAACGAAACAACATGATCATTAGGGCAGAAAACAAAGTCAAAATTGAAAACAGCAGATCCACAAAATGCTACTGCAGAACATAAAAAAACCAAGCACACTAATTACCCATATAACATCCTAATCCACAAAGCTGGGCCAGTTAATCCAAACAAAATTATATATCCCAAGCATAAAGCAAATGCAAAAACACTTCCATTGATTCAGACATTACAAATCCTTATACAGAAAATCAAGCAAAACCAATCTAATCTGAAGAACATCAAATTGTTACACCTTAATAAACAACACTTAAGAAATCATTTTATAAATGCATCAAAGATTAAGCTTACATACCCCTTGGATCCTCTTGCCAGTCACGGGACACTTGGGACCACTGGCCCTCTTCTTAGTGGTCTGATACACCAGCTTCCCGCCTATGCTCCAAATACAACACACACAAACACAATCAGCTAATCCGAACAAGAACATCAAACATCAAAAAACCCAAATCTCACAATGTTAACTCAACAAAACAATAATCAAACCAAAATACGCAAAAAACACACATNAAAAAAAAAAAAAAATGAAAAAAAAAAAAATTGTTTACCGGGGGTTTTGACGACCCGGTGCTGGTTTGATTTCGTGGCATAGCTATGCCGCTTCCTGTATGTTAGCCTCTGCACCATTTTTCACTTTTTTTTTTCCGGTGATTGGGTTTTTGGTCTGGAGGCGAAGGCGATGATCAGAAGGGATGAAAGAGAATATATAAGTGGGGATTCGTTCTTGTGTTGCCCTAGATTGGACGGCGGAGATAGTCTTTCGTAATATCTGTTTAGATCGACGGCTAGGCTTGTTGATGTTATATTGGGCTGTGTCTGGTGAGATTATGGACTAGTTTCAAGACGAGCCCAATAATTGTAATTGGGTACAAATTTCACCTATTAAATTGTTTGTGAGTTTGGGACGACTTATTTGAGCTCAGGCTAGTTTAATTTACTAACTCAACACGAGCTTAAAAATAGAAATATTTATTTAATGTTTTATAATTCAATTCGTTAAGGTTAGAACTTGACTTTTGATATTGATAAACGAATCTTTTATTTACTCTAGCGTCTTCTAGTTTTCTAACAAATAAATTAATTTGTGCCATTTTCATTAAAGGAAAAAATAAAAAATAAAAAAAAGATTATTTAGAATCTTTTTATTTAGGCACAAACTATCATTTGCGCAGCTTTTTGTCTCCTTGAACAAGGACCCGTCAAATGTTGCCCTTGGACTCAAGAAAAGGATGGTCAGAAATTTATTATCACATAATATAAATTCAATAATCATATTAGATGCAGAATAATTTAAGTTCATAATATCATGCTTATATCAATAAATATTTATAAATAAAAGTGATTGTGTTTTTTTAATGCAGATCGGAATCAATCTACAGATTTGGACGTCACGAATTTGCATCGATCACGACTATGGAAACTATTAGACACAAGTCACAAGGGAGGATCGTTTTATTGCACTAGTGCGTGACCCGTGCAATGCACGGGAAAACAATATTACGATTGTATTATAAATTAAATATATAAATAACATTAATCATGATATATGTATTGTTTTTACATTAAACCGAGTTGGACACAGTCCGATCGGATGGACGGAGAACCGATTTATAACCAGTCTAGTTCGCTTGAATAAGATATTTGCTTTTGAATCCGTCAACACTAGTCGGTTGGATTTGTAGGATCGACACGATTGTTTAAATAAATTTATTATATTTAAAATTATTTTAAATAAAATTACATATTTAAATAAAATAGAGATTTATAAATTATTTACCAATTAGTTTAAACATTTGAATTTATAAATTTTTTAAATATCTAAGTAACACATTTTGTTTAAATTTATTACAAAAAATACTATATATATATATATATTAAAATATTTATAAATTAAAATCTGAACAAACCACAAATGATTTAATAAAATAGCTTGATCGTTTCGATGACTGTCCAGTTCTGAGAACCTTATATTTAATGTACATTAATAAATATTATAATGAAACATTTTCTTATTCACATAAATATTAATAAACTGATATATAAATATTCATAAATCATTAAACATGTTGTCATAAAAGTATTGTTAATACGATTAATTGAAATTTGGACTACATCACATTCATGTAATAAAATATTTTCAATATAAAATTTATATTTAGGTTCAATAATCGATTTTGTGTGATCGAACTGATTCATAACTTAGTCACATGGGACCAACCAGGTTGTGTCAAGTTTTTTGACTATTTTAAATATCACCTAAAAGTAATTTAATCAACCTGGGCAGTACCCTAATTCAATCACCTGATTGATCCGAAGAAATTTTCTTATTTTCTTTAAATATATTTAATTTTATGAAATAAAAATATTTTATGATTCATATAATAAATGTCTACAGCAAAGGAGAGTATATTAAGATTAAGATGATAGTATCTTAAGATGAATTAATTATTTTTACTTTATGCATATTAATAAAAAATAAATATAGTAATTTTTAAAAAATTAAGAGTAATTGATTGATTATGCAATTTAAAGAATATTTTTAGTGTTCATTTTTTTTAAAGGTAAAAAATAAAGACCGAGATTCTAAAACTTTTGTTATATTTTGAATTGAGATTTTATAAATATAGAGACCGAGATTTTAATTTTGTTCGTTGCTTCTAAGGAAAAAATAAAAATAAAAACATACACACTTAATAAATCTTAGCAAGATTTTTTAAATAATAAAATGAACTATAGTCTGAAATTTAAGGTAGCATTTAATGCTGTATAAATTTTAAAGAAAAAATAAGAAAAGTAATAAAACTTACTATTTATAGACTGCATTAGATTCTGACCTATTGTTTTGTTTACTATTTTTAGTAAATATTAATTCTTATTATATATATATAGATTCCTTAATTAAATCTCTTTATGAGCCGTCATTTTTATTCTTTGTCAAGAGAATTAAAAAATTATTTACTAGTATTGAGTATGTTGTGTTGTGAATCATAACCGAGAAGGTCTATATATGTTACTCAATTAGGTCATCCATAATCATCTAATTTTAGTAGCTACTAGTATTAAGTATCTAATCAATCTTTCAAACTAACTAGATGGAGGTTTATCTTATTTAATTTAAATCACTTAAATAAATCCATAGAATTATTAAATATAGAATATCATTGATAGTATTATGTTGTTCATATTTTGATTATATAAAAAATCTATATTTCCTAACACATTACAAGAATTTCTATAGATTTTTTTTTTCTTTTGGTCCAGGTGGATCATACTATATGTTTTCCTTTATCCACTTAGTTCTACAACCAATTAAGCATATTGGTACATTCCAAAGTGCTTATTAATATTAAATTTGTACTCATTTTTTAATTATGCATCGTGATATTCGGTGTTGTCCACTTGTCTTAGTCTTAACTAGAAGAATTATATAAACTCAAAAATCACTTAACATTGAAAGCTCAGCAAATGGATATATTTTTTTTTTTCTGAGTTTTGTGCAAAAATATACTAAAAGTTTTTTTCAATTGGTTTATTTCGATTGAGTCACAAGATTATTTTTTTTAGCCAACTTGTATTCCTTAAGGTACAAGCTGCTGAGCAGTGTGTACACTGGAATTGCATGATTTAATTAATACAAAGCAGTGCTTTATAATTTAAATACAATAACGAATATACTATTAATATTATAATAATATATTCAATATTATCCATAAAATAGGTGGTAAAACCGAATGAGTACCGATGACTTGTCTAGTATATTCAAGATATACTAGACATATTCAAACTAATTTAATTAATGCTAAACTTGATTAAAAATCAAATAAGAAAGTAAACATATAAAAATTAAGGGTAGAACTTTCAAACTAAAGAAGAAAAAGACACTTGATAAAAATATAAAAATGCTAAAAAGATCCAAAAAAATTTAAGTATTATATTCAAGATTTATATCGATATTTTGGTCGATATTTTCCGTATAAAAATGTTTTTTATTTTTTCTGTATAAAAATGTTAAGATTCAATATTTTGGCAAATATGACGTATCCACGGGTATCAAACAACTGAGTATTTAAACTTTAAAACAAAGCAGAAATTTAAAACATTAAAACAAAGCAGGCATATATGTTGATTGTATCAACACATGAAGATGATTCTGGGTTAAAGTATTTTGCTGCATGAATAATGGGCTACATATGAAATCAAGAATACAATCTGTACTTAGTTAATAACCATTCAATTTAACCTTCTTAATCACGCTTTAAATCCCACCTAATGATATTGATTTGGCCATGAAAGCAATTCAACATTTGGGTTCTATTCGCTAATGTTATATTACAAACTTCACGTGTCAATGAGTGATTTGAATAACTATGACCCAATTTCATCAATATACGTATATATAGAATGCAATAATTAAATAAAAGTTTTCAATTTCTATGTAAATTATAAATGGNAATATAAAATTTATTTCATATAATATATATAAATATAGTAAATATGATATATTAATATATATTTACATAATATTTATATATTAATATATTTATGTATAATACATATATTTAGGTGTTTATAAATAAATTTTTTAAGCAAGTCAGAACATATTCAATTATCTTAAACGAATCTGAACATGAATCACTTTCGCTTCGTTTACAACCCTACTTTTAATCAATCACGTGTCCTCCATTGAACAAATAAGAGAAATATCGCACTCGAATCATTCTTTTCCTAATCCATTTTTCTAAATGTATATATTTAATTTAACATAACAATATGCTACAAAAGTTAATTCTAAAGACATAACTGAAAACAAACACACAGAGTGCAAATGGAATGAATGTCACCATATCTCAGCTCTAAGAATACAGTTCAAAAGGTATAGCTTAGCTTCAATATAGATTACAGTTGCAAGAAATACATCAATAGCTAATTCCAACTATATCCTTACTTACTCATCTCTCAATTGAGTAAAAATCAAACCAATACATTTGGATACACAGTTGTTCGATTTCCCTTTCATTTTTTCTGTTTTTCGATACTTTTTTTGTTCGATTCAAGTCCTTGTCGATTGAGCAAGGCTCATTACATAAACCAACATCATATATATATATATACATAGTTACATACATACATGTAGTAGAAAGCAAGAAAAGGGACTCAATCGTAAACAACTCGAATACTCAATTGTGCTAATATTCAGCACAAATTATGGACTAGAATTGCTAACCGGGCTTTGGGCTGAGGCCACAAGTAGGCCTCCACGGCTTTGGGCTGCCCGGACCAGAATTGCCAATCGGGCTGCCGCTTGAGCTGCTGCTTCCTGTTCCGTTTTGGATGAAAGAAAATTTGTTAAAAGGTCCATTCAAAATTCAAGAATGTATATATGCTCTTCAAAAGAAAGTTCTTGTTTAGTTTTGCTTTTCTTTATTTTAATTTATTATTATTATTTTTATTTTTTTACAGCAGTAAAATAATGTTTTACCTGTCTTTGCCTACGGCGTTGCAAGATATTAATGGCCCAGATCATGATGTAGCAAGGCAAAAGAAAACCAACAGCTCGTAACAAGAATAGCTGCATATTTTCACATTTTAGCAAACTCACAGTTAAAACAAAAAAAAAAAAGAAATAATAAAATTGAATTTGTTTTTATTTTACTCACAGAGAAGAAAGTCGATGCATCGTCATCATTCTCATCTCCATCACCAGTGACCGAAAGTGCATGTCTCAATAGCAAAAGAGCCATCAACTGCATGTTCAATACATATGTAGCATTTTTATACAAAACTATTAATTCGAAAAACTCACTATATATTTTTGTCCGAGAGTATTTTCAAATGAGATTCTAGTTTTAGTGAAATGGGAAAGGGCTTACAATAAGAGCAGCCGAACGGCAAAATGCAGTTCCACTTGAGCTACCGTTAAATTCATCATAATCGGCTTCAAATAGCTGACGTTCAGCCTCAGCAAGAGCCACAAATCGAGGATCGTGCAAATGAACTGTCCCCCCTGAGATTGGCCATATTCCCCTGAAGCCCAAATAAAGAACAATATAAATAACCAATAATATTAAAACACTATTTATATTAAAAAAATTAAAGAAAAAAAAATGAATATTAACCCAATATCAATTCTAGTCTCGTCAGATGGAGGTCGAGGAGGCGCAGTGTAATCTGGCTGATACGGCTGCACATTAGAACCGAAGAATATCGAGTCATTTTATGACTAAGTATATATGTCTTATTCAGAGAGCATAAAGATTAACTTAATAATAATGATAATATCAATTAACAGCCCAATCTTATGTGCTTAAAATACAAATGCATTTTTAAAAATGAAGTGAATAACCTGATGGCAGATCTCACAGGTAATGTCTCCCTTTTCATTGCACCAATGCTGAACGCATTTTCTGTGCGCATACTGCAAAAACACATTTCACACCGTAAAAATAGTTTTAACCCAACGACTAAACATATAAGCTTTAATTAATAGATGAAGAAAATACTTCACCACCAAAAAATTAGAACTGAATATGGGGGATAAGAATAAGTTTAGTAACCACATAATTATTTTTAATTAAAGCTCGTGAAATTAAGGAATTTCGGACAATTTTTCAAGTACTCAGAAGAAGTTAACGTAGCTTTAAAATTATGCACCGAGCTCCATTGTTGAATAATTAGTTCGATCCATTCTGATGAACAAAATTCATGTTCAAACTTTTCACACACACAATACTTCAAAATCCAATCCGTAGTTCAACACCATTTCAACTATATAGGAAATCTACCTAATCACTNAAAAAGAAAAAAAAAAACACAAATCAACACTCAGCATTCAATCTACTCCTCATAACAATCCATATATCAACAAGAATATCATTACACGTCAATAAAATTCTCATAACAATCCATATATCAACAAGAATATCATTACCTTAAGGCTCCCACTGCAAGCACAAGGGCTCTCTAAATTGTGGATAGAATCCTCTTCCTGGCAAATTCGGCATTCGCCAATACCTATTAGCAGCGTTTGCTCATCATTTAACTCATCATCAAGCTCCACCACAACATTATCATCATCTCTAGCCGATGATGAGGGGCCCACAATTTCGGGCTTCTTACCCGAGGACCCACAATCCACAGCCTGCGGGCCCGGCTGGCTAGGCCCGAATGGTTCGGGCTTCGACAGCTGGTTAACATTCACCAAATGCTCACCCATTTACAAAACTTCTTCTTTCTTCTTTCTTCTTTTTTCCCCTAACACCACCCAAAGAAGCTCGAGCAACTTTTGAGTCAAAAACCACAAGAACTCCTAAACAAAGAATAGCAATTATGATCTATTCAAATGAAAGTTGCCATTTTTTCACTAGGTTAATTATCCCTTGATATCAATTAAAACTCACTAGGTTAATTATCCCTTGATATCAATGAAAACTCAAATCAACAATCTAATTAAATGATCTTTTCTTGCATATTTTACAAAGTCTTGATTTTTACACCTGCCCATCTAGCAAAACGTACTCGACAAAATCTTCAAAATAAAAATCAAAAGTAAAATAACACAAACATTTCAGAAAAAAGGCACAACTTTGAGCTTTCACACAAACTATTCACTCACATATTTAAGAAAATCCAAAAAAAAAAAAAATCGCACCTATTTCTTGATTTTCAATTACACAATAGCACACGGCGAGTGGATTTGTAGATCCCAGAAAGCAAATCAACCGATCGAGCTGGAATATGCAGAGGGTCAGATAATATCTTTCTCCGGATACCCAAAAGCAAAAAAGTCAGCACAAAAACGGAAAATACAAACGGAGTTGAAATAAACAAGGAAAGATAAAAAAAGAGAGCAATAAAGGGAAAACAAATACGTATGAAATGTACCTGAAAGAAAGGAACACGGAAATGAGAGCGGAGAAAAAGTCGTGAACAAAATGCGAGAGAAGGAAATGGAAAGCAGGTCAGTTGATTGTTGTTTTGTCGTTTGTGTTTTCCGCGTTTTGCTTTCGAGTTTGGATACTCTATTGTAATTACGAATTTACCCATAGAAAGGTGTTTTTATTAAAATATTATGTAATAATGCTTACTTTTTATTATTTAGCTATACTATACTATTAATATTACAAGATGAAAAATATCTATTTCTTTAATAATCTGTGTTTAACTGTAGTTCCGTCTCAAAATAAATACCCAATAGCTTCACAAATCACAATGCTTCAAATCCTTGTCAGTCTGATGGGTGTATTGATTTGGAATTCTTCCAGGCAAATTTTAAGAATTTTGATGAGTTTAATTTGCATTTTTTTAAAATTTTAAAATATGTAATTATTTCAAATTACACCTGAATCAAACTAGTTAGGAGTATATGGACGCGTTTGGATATAAGTTTGTGATTGGGTATTTTTGTTTTGATTGATTTTTTTTATTACCATAGTTAATTTTTATTTAAAAATGGCTTGATTAGATTTGAGTAGGATTTTAAATTTGTATTAAAACAATATTTTAGTTAATATGATTAAAATTGATTTGACATAAAAATAAGAGATTAGTTATGTGAGATTAGAGCAGATATAATGTGTAAGTAGGATTGATTGATATTATTTAATTGTATTAATAATATAAAAGATAATGAAATTAACAATTAGATTTTGAGTTAAAAAATAATGGGTTAAAAGTGATTCGAGATTAATTGAAAATTTCATCACATAATCATAAACGGATCTGTATGTGGGTCAGGGGGGCCCGTGGGCCTCCCTGATTTTTTTGAAAAAATGAATATATATATATATATAAAGAAATACTATAAAATATGTATAAAAATATAAAAAATATTTACAATATTAATAATTAAAACTTACTTTCTATGCTACTATAATTTAAAATAATAATATTATTTATTTATTAAAAAATATACTTACAAACCTTATATTTTACATTTCTAAATAAATTTTTTAAAATATTAATAATGATTAACTCTTTCGGTCTCTTAATTGTAAATCAATTTAGTAATTTATAAAATCCAGTATTTAGTTACATTTTTAATATNATCTCCTTTTTTTAAGTTTGACGGTGATATGGATTCTAAGTTTTTAAAAAAATTTGATGATACACATATCAATATTCATATTTATAGTAAACACATATCAAAACTCGTTGTAACATTTAAAATCGGGCCTATTTAGTGAAATTTCTAAATCCACATAATAACACATGGCCTGCAAGCCCACAGTAACCACAATAAACCTTCCTGCACCGAACCCTACCTCCCTTCCAAAATATCTGACCTTTTAGATAAGCAGATAACCTTCAAGAAACTGCTCATAATACTCAATTATTATTTATTATTTAAAAAAAGAAATAACAATAAGAAAACATAAAAGCAAATCCCTTTCACCACACACGGAATTTCCAGATCCTTCTACAAATTTCCTCCTTAAAGCCCACAGAAATCTCCTTAAAAACCCCAATTTTCACAAATTTTCACCTATCATCAATCAATATATCCCGAAAAATTCCAAAACAAATAAAAATAAAAATAATAAATCAAATTCACAGTTTTTCGAAAAGCTCATCAAATCAAGAAAATGGCTTCCGAAACTGATCCCTTCTTCTTTCCCTTCATATTGGGCCTCACCGCCGCTGGCCCGACCCAACAACAGCCCGACCCGGACGGCCCACGTGACCGGGTCGTCTTCCTCAACCTCTTAACCCAGACCATGGCCGTCGTCGAGATGAACGCCGACTCACTGTTTCAAAACCTGTCTGCCGCGAAAGGCGGGCCGAGGCCCGCCTCGAAATCGGCCATCGAAAACCTGCCACGTGTCGAGATCGTGAAGGGCAACGGAGACGGCGAGGAGGATCAGTGCGCCGTTTGCCTGGGGGAGTGGGAAAAGGGCGATCTGGCGACGGAGCTGCCGTGCGGGCACAGATTCCACGGCGGATGTATCGGAAAGTGGCTGAGGATTAACGGGTGCTGCCCGCTGTGCCGGCGGGAGCTGCCGGCCGGCGGCGAGGATGATGACGTGGAGGAGAAATCTCCCGGGGAGAGGGGGAGGAGAGAAATCTGGGTGAGCTTCAGCTTTGGTGGTCTGAGGAATCGCGAAAATCAAGAAGATTAGGAGAAATTGAGTTCTTTTTTTCCTTTTGTTTTGTTGTTTGCCTTTTGAAATTGATTTGTTTTGATTTGTTTGTGATGTTTAGATGCTAGGTTTGGATGTGTAAATATTGTCTTTTTTGTTTTCGAGTCTTCATCTCACTGTGTATAGATGTTTTTCTTGAGAAGAAATATTTGGGTATCGTTTTTAAAGACAATAGATTTTATAAATATTCACAAAACAAATATCACAGCTGTTTACAATAGGGTTGAAGGAAGCAATTGACTTTAATAGGGAGGGAGAATTAAATGAGTGGTAGCCTATATTCTACTTAAAACAATAAAACTCTCACCGTAATGGAGAAAGAAGATGATATCTATAGTAATATAAAGAGGTTGATGGAAAAATACAAAAATAGTATGTTTGACTTAAAAAATAAAGTTTTGACTTATTAATTTAAGTAACACCAATGGGGCCCACGCGTTAAAATTAAATTTAAGTAATAAATAACTCATAGCAAAATTAGTTCAGATTTTCTTAACCAATGTCAACAGATTCTGTGGGAATTTATTCTTAACCAATCTCAACAGATTCATTTTATATGTTCACAATTTTCATAATTACTACAAGATCTTAAAGATAATGATCGAAATTGTCTTACCAAAATTATCGGATTTTGTTAGCTATATTGGTAAGATTTTGATTGCCTTACCAAAATTATCGGATTTTGTTAACTATATTGCTAAGATTTTGATTAATTTTATATATGAATTGTTACCAACTTTCCACGATAACTGCAGATTTTTAGGACAACTTCAAAATTGACGATTTGGACGACTTTTCACATTTGTTTGGATTTTTTTTTTTTACCAACAGATTTATGATCCGATTTTGTAGAATTGTATTTGTTCACAAATTTCTTAATTACTACATATTGCATCGAAATTGTCCAAATATTTTTGCCAACTCACCATAAGCAAAATCAAGTAAATCGGATAGGATCCGACGGGATATTGATCATATCACAATAAAAAATATCGGATAGCTGTTGAATCTGACGGCATATTAATCATATCACTATAAATATCTTATCTTTCTAATGCATTCATCGTATTATTACATTCAAACTCATACTCTCGGTTCCTTCTACATAAAATAAAAAATAAAAGAACGCATTCACTCTAATGTTACTGTGAACGAATCACAAATAACTGGGCAGCACATACAAATCGTATTTTGAGATTAGCAATTTTCTTTTTTTTTTGTTCAATTCATCCAATATCTAATGCCGACATTCTTTTTTTTTGTTTTTTCGGCAGACGTACAGACTGACGTATAGACTGACTCACAGATTTGTGTGTGAAGAACCTTCAAGTTGTGAAGAACAGAATTGGATGGAAAAGCAATAACGACGACATTGTTCACAACATCATCAGAAAACGAATGTTGTAAGGTTTTTTATTTTAATTTTTTTTTTCTCTACTTCATGTGTAAAGATGAACTTATTTTTTATTACAGTATACTTACTATTTCATGTTTAATAGCAACAAACACAAGGATGAGTGGACATCTAGCCTACGTAATGGAAGAAAAAACAACAAATAGAGAAAAGGAAGGGAAAACAATAGCAGCTACAGAACCTCATAACACACTTCATGGAATTCAGATCAACAGAAGCAGATTTTATGAAAAAATTCAAATAAGTACCTTTAAATTTTGTTTTTTTGTTTTACCTTTATTGTTGACACTGAATTCTATATTTTATGCATGAAAAGAATATGAAAAAATTTGTTTTTCAATGAAACCTATCTATTTTATATTTACCTTTGTTTACCTTTGAGTTTGTTGTGAATCTGTTAACTTTTATACGATTACAGACTTAACATAATTCTTAATAGTTGCTATCAAACATGTTCAGGTTATGAATTTTAATGATATAGTTTTACTAATAAAAACATATGCATACAATCAATAGAATGTCATAGCCGATGTTTAGTAATATGACTGTAGTTTACTGATATACAAACTTATTCTAGAAATCTCTTAGATACAATGATATATCTTCGTGATATGATAATCAATAACATTACTTTAGTACTAAAACAAAGGTAATCATCAAAGGACAGCAAGAGCTAGTCACTACTGTTAACAGGGTTATAGGTAAACTATGATAAGACCATAATTACAGTTACAGATATCCCAACACTCATTACAGTAACAAACCAAATGTTGAGTAAAAAATAATCATTAAAATTACAGCATATACATTAACTCAGTGATATACCAAATACTAATAGACAAATTGTACATTCCTCATATAATTCAAGAAGTTTGTTTCATACTACAAAACAATGATACATAGATAATCATATGATAAATTTTAAAAAAAAAACAATATGTTTTTTTCAATTACCTTATTTTTTGCTCCAGTTTCTGAATCATTAATGAAGTATAGCAAACTGTCGACTCCCGAAGAATCCATTTTTTATTTGTTAGTCATCTGTTTAAGAACAAACAACAATACAACAATATAGATCTGAATTAGTATTTGAAATGGTATCAATGTTCCAAAAACACATAATTTTGATGTGCACATTAGTTTCAATCAGAACAGTGACAACAAATCGATATAGAACTTAAAATAATTAAATATTTACAAAGTATTGCAAACATAATCGTTCGTAATAGTAGTTTTCATGTTACTTTTTCTTAGAACTTTCTGATTTTGAAAGATATTCGAATGAACAAACAAGATTCGTATGTGTTTTTGGATCAAATGTTCGACATTCTAAAAAATAAAAAATTTAAGAAACAAGACACACTAAAAAAATGTGAAGTACAGTTACTGTTCAAATTGAATTTTAAAAATCGGTCTGAAATCTAATTAAATACCAGATCTAAAACTTTTTATAAATAAAATTATATACTTTAGTAAAATATCGATACTTCATTTCTGGATTTCATTTTTTTCGACACAAAACTTTCGGATTTGAAAGAAAATTCAAAAAATTAAACCAGATTCATCATATATTTTAATAAAATTCACAGAAAATGATAGCGAACTGCAAAAACCATAAAAAATATCCATAAATTGAAAAAACAAATCCATGAATAGTAGGCTGATCTATAATATCTATGAACAATGAGTTAGTAGATCTGGATACGGTAAAGGAAAAACGACCTTCAATTTTTATACAATAATCCCGAATACAAAAATTAAAAAAAAAAAAAAACTAAAAAATGAAAGACCTCAGTCGTTCATAAAATTTTTGAATCGGGTGTATCATACATATTCATCAGATCATATTCGACAGAGATTCTTATCAAACTCGACTAACAGTAACTCAAATCGATGAAAATGAAAAAAAAAATAATAAACTGAAAAAGCCCATATCAAGTTTTTCGAATCCGTGCTCAAAACAATATGCATCATGTCGTAATCGACATAGATTCTCATAAAAATCTATTATCATGAGCTGAGTTCGTTCAAAATTAAAACAAAAATAAAAAAAAATAAAACGAAAGGTCAGGTGAAGGGTCGAGAAAGATGAATCGGTGGGAGAGAGAAGTGAGAAGATGCTGAGAGAACAAATGACAAACCCTAAAAAATTGGGTTTTTTTTACCTTTTATAGTATGCTTTATTGATTTCAGGCCGTTAGATATTGTTTGACTAATATTAGCCGTCCGATTGGCTAATAGTTGTTTATGGACCGAGTTTAATCAAATGATAATGGATCAGATTTTTTGAAATGTATTGGGCCCTGTTCGAACGGAATCATTAAAATTTTAATAATGGACCGACTTTACACCACTGCTAATGCACAAACTTTACTTTAGTTATATATTTAATTTAATGGTATTTCATTTTTTTATCAGTAAATGTAAATTCATAAATCAAAATTGGTGTACAAACGACCAAAAGTCGGCATACAAAAGCGCAATAAGGAGCCACAAACTCGGCTCCCCATTGGCCTATAAATCAAAAATTGTATATCATTGGCTTATTGTTAACAAATCTTGGATTTTGGTAAAAAAATTGATCTGGTTTTAATAACAAATCTTAGATTTTGGTAACAAATTTGATCTTATTTTGATGACAAATCTCGAATTTTGTTAACAAATTTGATCTGATTGTGATACCAAATCTTTTAAGATATCGGTTTTTCTTTGGTAACACGCTTCATAGTTTTTTTTTCCAAAACGACAGATAATATTATAAATCAAAATGCACAAAGTGCGAATACACGCTTCATAGTTATTTACACACAATATATTGTCGATAATCTTTGGGATTTATTTTGGTAACAAATTTCATAATTTTTTCGATTGTTTGAAGTTAAATATTGCAGAAAAAATCTATTGATTTGATAAATGATACATATCAAAATAAAAATATTATTTTTCAATCAATACAAAAAGCCTTACCAAATTAAATTGTAAAAAACTCCATTAATTTTGATAAACATTATGTCACATTGATATGACACATAATCTTCAAAATAAAAATTTAATTGTTGATATACTAATATAAACAATATCAATGGGTCCCACATGTCAACAAATTTAATCGGATTTTTATAACAAATCTCGGATTTTTATAACAAATTTGATCTGATTGTGATAACAAATCTCGAATTTTGATAACAAATTTATTAAAATATTGGTTTATTGATAACACATTTCATAGTTATTTATACATAATATATTGCCAATAATCTTGGGATTTCTTTTGGTAACAAATTTCACAATTTTTTGGTGTTGTTTGGAGTTAAATATTGTAGAAAAAATCTCAAGATTTGGTAAATGATACATATCAAAATAAAAATATTATTTTTCAATCAATCCAAAAAGCCTTACCAAATTAAATTGTAACACACTCCATTAATTTTGGTAAATATTATATCACATTGATATGACACATAATATTCAAAATAAAAAATTAATTGTTGACTTACTAATATAAGCAATATCAATGGGCCCCACATGTCAACAAATTTAATCGGATTTTGGTAGCAAATTTGATCGGATTTTGATAACAAATCTCGGATTTTTGTTAACAAATTTGATCATATTTTGATAACAAATCTCGGATTTTGTTAACAAATTTGATCTAATTGTAACAAATCTCGGATTGTGATAACAAATCTTTTAAAAAATTAGTTTTTTTGGTAACACACTTCATAGTTATTTACACACAATATATTGCCGATGATCTTTGGGATTTCTTTTAGTAACAAATTTCAAAATTTTTTTGGATTGTTTGGAGTTTAATATTGCAGAAAAAAATCTCGATATTTGATAAACGATACATATCAATATAAAAATATTATTTTTCAATCATCCAAAAAGCCTTACCAAATTAAATTGTAACAAACTCAATTAATTTTGGTAAAACCATTATGTCACATTGATATTGTCACCTAATATTTAAAATAAAAATTTAATTGTTGACTTACTAATATAAGCAATATCAATGGGTCCCACATGTCAACCAATTTAATTGGATTTTGGTAACAAATTTGATCGGGTTTTGATAACAAATCTCGAATTTTGGTAACAAATTTGATCTTATTTTGATAACAAATCTCTGATTTTGTTAACAAATTTGATCTGATTGTGATAACAAATCTCGGATTTTGATAACAAATTATTTAAAATATTGGTTTTTTTGTAACACACTTCATAGTTATTTATACACAATATATTGTCGATAATCTTTGTGATTTATTTTGGTAACAAATTTCACAATTTGTTCGGATTGTTTGGAGTTAAAATATTGCAAAGAAAAAAAAAACAATATTGAGATTTGATAAATAAGACATATCAAAATAAAAACATTATTTTTCAATCAATCCAAAAAGCCTTGCCAAATTAAATTGTAACAATCTCTATTAATTTTGGTAACATTATGTCACATTGATCACATTGATATGACACATAATTTTCAATAACCGACAAAATTCGAGACACATGTAACACGTTGCACATTTTTTGTTTTAACAAAAACGAATAAACATATTTTTTGAAGTCGATCGTAATCACATTATTTAAGAAAATAAATCCTACAAAAAACATGACGTAAATCAATTTTATATTTATATTTTATACCAGTATTTTATTGATTTATATAATCTACATTATCCAAACTACTAATGGTTGTTACAAATATATATGTAGAAAACAAGTAACTACTCGAATAAGGGTTTGAATAATAGGATTGATAAGCGTGATCTTATTTCTTAAGCTTATCCGACCGTTTTTAACTTGATATTTTGTAACCATATATGCTCTATGGGTCTGTGTAATGAGACACAATTGGTTGTCACAAAGCTCTCCACTCACGTTTTCGAGTGCAAGATACTCACTGGCAATCACGCAAGTGATAAAGTGTTGATTCCAAGAATGACTATATTTCCTTCTGATGTTAGAATTCCTTTCAAGTTTCAGCGTCGACAGTTTCTCATTATGGTTTCTTACGCCATGACTATAAATAAGAGCCAGGGACAATTATTTGCATGAGGGCTTATTTGTTAAGAAAAACCAGTATTTTCTCATGATCAGTTGTATGTTGTTGTCTCCCGTGTCACAAACATAAATAGTTTGAAAATCCTAATTTGTGGCGACGATTACGTGTTAAAGAATCAAACCATGAACGTTGTATACAAAGAAATGTTCAATAATATATAGATTTTATTTTCATTATATTTATTAATTATTAATGACACGATCTTTCCTTTGGTAAGTATTTTGAATTTTAATTGAAAATTGCTTTTTAAAAGAGACGGGGATAATAAACCCCCGTGCATCGCACGGGTACTGTACTAGTACAACTAAAACACAAACAAAATTACCTAAATTACAAGAAAAACAACTACACAATCCTTCATGCAACAATAAAACCACACCAAGCAAATCACGGTGATGCCAACGAATATCCACGTATCTATATAGACAGAGCCATGGCCTAGGATTCAGAATTGCATAACAACGCCTAACTGGGTCAGACACCAACAAGACTCGATCCACATCCATTCAGGTAACCTGAAACCCGCACCTGGAGAAATAAAGATTGTGACGCAGTGTTGGAGGGTGGCCTTATAAAGTTTAGAAATATTACATTTTTCTATGTTATTTTTTAGAATATGACATTTAAATTTAAAAAAAAAAATTGATGTAACACAGAATAGCTCGGTAGACCGACTTGAAGAGAAAGCTCGACTAGACTGGTCTAGGAGAGCTCTCTCGTACGTACAAAGGTGAGCTACTTGGTCAAGTAGCTCTCATATACGGACTTAATGTACCGACTGACTTGAAGACAGACGACCTAGGGGCTGCGATCTATAGGAGCCCGACAATGCATCCGACCTCGAGGTATCGAGGTCGTTTGGTTCGAAGACAGGTTAGACCTCAGAATGATGAGGTTGGATTAGACCTAAAGATGAGGTCAAGATAAACCTCGAGACAGGGTTAGGTTTGACCTCGACTAAGACCACAACAGACAGGTGAAGAGGTTAGAGTTACGACCTAAAGACCTATAGGCTAAAACAGTAAAAAGGAGAAAGAATCTTAGTAAGAAGAAAAGAATCACCGGTTCAATGACTTTTGTCTAGATAGAGACGCGATAAGTTAGAAAGTATGATCTGTTGGATCTGTTCTCTAAGAAGGACTCTCTAGAGAATCAAAATATCTACCTGTATAAGGGTGACAGATTCTTCTTCATCACATATCGCATTCTATGCCTTTACTTACATAGTTCTTTTATACAGTTATTGAGTGAATTCAGACTTTAGCGTCGGAGGTTTTTCCGACGGGACTTCCTCCTCATGTATTGCATGTCACTGGAGCTCAAGGACGAAGGCCGCTCGAGGCGTAGGCGCTCAAATCCAGTTCGTGACAAAAATTGACGTAACAATATTAATGTTTGGTTTATATTGTTTTTTTTTATTATATGATATTTAAATTTAAAAATTATGTATGTTTTGTTGAAAAAGTATATCTGGTCTTACATGACCAATGCTTGATCCAATACTAATAGATTATGTACAACTAATTATGCCAATGTTTTACCTATTCATTGTAGGCAACCTATTTTGTAATATTTACACATGTGTCCCATGTATATAAGGGAAATGATGTATCAGACTTATTCACTTTTGTTCAATACAGAAAACCTAATTTTCCTCTTCTTCTCCGATGCTTCTCTACTTTCTCTTTCTCTCTTCTGTATGATTTGATGAACATTATTATGGTATCAGTCGCCGGCGCCTCACCGATCCGGTTATAGATCTCTTTTCCGCTGCATCTTCCCTCGCCTTCATCAAAAAGGCGACTTCATCTTCGATTCACTGTTTCACATTCTGGTTTTGCCCGGTTTTAACCTCGATTTGTACAAATCTACTTTGATCTGTACGATTTCGGTTTCGATCTGTGCAATTAACGATTTGACTTGCGATTGACGATTTGATTTCTCTGCGGTTCATCACTCTGATCGATGGCAAACCCTAGCTTCACAGACGATCCGACATCGCCATACTTTCTTCACCCGAGCGACAATCCTGGAGCGCTTATTGTCGCCGAAATCTTTGATGGTAACAACTTTGTCTCTTGGTCTTGCGCGATTACCATGGCCCTGAGCGTCAAAAACAAGCTTGGTCTTGTCGATGGTACAATCTCTATACCTCCTACTGCTAGTAATCTTGAGTTTTTGGCCTGGACTCGTGCGAACAATCTCGTCCTGTCGTGGTTACTAAATTCTACTTCAAAAGACATCAGACAATCATTACTATTCTTCACCTCTGCTAAAGATGTTTGGGATGAACTGAAAGCTCGTTATGCATTGAGCAGTGGTCCACGAGTTTTCCAAATTGAAAAATCTTTAAGTACAATGGATCAAGGCTCAATGACTATTACACAATATTATAACTGCTTCAAGACTCTTTGGGATGAATACTTGTCTTATAGACCTATAATCCGTTGTACCTGTGGTGCTCTTACTTCATGTACTTGCAACATCTTTGATTCCATGGTTAACTCTCAACAATCTGATTCTGTGATAAAATTTTTGATTGGTTTGAATGAGTCCTACTCTGCATTGAGATCACACTTACTCCTGTCTACACCTCTCCCGAATCTCAACAAAGTCTATTCCCTTCTCCTTCAAGAAGAAAGCCAGCGTACCTTACACACCAAATCTCATGATTCTATGGCCATGGCAGCTAAGTCTCATTTTCAACCACAGAAACCCTACAAACCACCTTTCAAAACCACTGACACATCAAAATCCTACAATCAGAAAGATCAGACTAAGCCTCGTCCTAAATGTTCCCATTGTGGATATCTTGGCCATACTTCAGATAAATGCTATCAACTTGTTGGCTACCCTTCTAATTGGGATGGACCTCGTGGTACTCGAATCCATCCAAGACACTCTGCTAATTCTGTGATCTCAACACAGCCTGGTTCTCATGATAACTCTGAATCTTCCATGACTGATCATTTGTTTCATGAATTTTTAGCTTTTAAAAAGTCTTATGAACAGAATGTATCTGCACCTCCTATGGATACTCAGAATACTGTTAGTGCTAATGCTTGTGTCACTCAGACAGCTCCTGCAACAGGTATTTCTAATTCTGTAGGTGTTTCATGTTCTGCTCATTGTGTTTTCAATGCTTGCACATGGATATTAGATACTGGAGCTTCGGACCACATGATTTGTGATAAATCCTTATTTACTTCAAACTTGTTTCACACTTCTATACCTGTTAATTTACCAAATGGAGAAGTCACTTTTGCTTCACACATGGGTGATATTCAGTTATCTGCTTCTATTGTTTTAAAACAAGCACTGTTTGTTCCTCATTTCAAGTTTAATCTCATTTCTATATCAAAATTGGCTGCCACAAATAATTGTGTCATAAATTTCTTTGCATCTCACTGCATATTGCAGGATCTGACATCACTCAAAGTGATTGGTTTTGCTGAAGCCAAAAGTGGTTTATATCATTTTGACCCTTCTGCATCTTTACATACTTCATCTATATCTCATAACCCTGTATCCCATGTTAACACAACACATGTCTCTGATGCAAATACTTGCAAAAACCTTGTATCCCCTGACATATGGCATTCTAGACTTGGCCACTTATCTTTTACCAGAATGACTGAACTTGATATTCCTATTTCAAAGCATAATAATCCTTGTGATGTATGTCATTTTTCTAGACAAAAGAGACTTCCCTTTCAACTTAGCAATTCAACTGCATCATCTTCTTTTGAGTTAATACATTGTGATGTTTGGGGTCCATTTTCTGTACCTTCATATGCTGGTCATAAATACTTCTTAACCATTGTGGATGATTACAGTAGGACAACATGGGTTTATCCTCTATTTCAAAAATCAGATACTCACTCTAGCTTAAGACATTTTCATAACATGGTCAAAACACAATTTGACAAAAACATCAAAGTCTTAAGATCTGATAATGGCACAGAGTTCCTACTGCATGATTTTTTCAATGAAACTGGTATTTTACATCAGAAAAGCTGTGTAGAAACCCCACAGCAAAATGCAAGGGTTGAGAGGAAACATCAACATATCCTTCAAGTAGCAAGAGCATTCTTATTTCATGCACATTTACCCCTGCATTTTTGGATTGACTGTATTCTAGCTGCTGTCCATATTATTAACAGAGTTCCTACTAAAGTTTTGCATAACAAATCTCCATATCATATGCTTTACAATACACCAGCATCCATTTCTCATCTCAGAACAATAGGATGTCTTTGTTATGCATCCACACTTCATTCTCACAGAACAAAATTTTCTCATAGAGCATCAAAATGCATCTTTCTTGGGTATCCCTTGGGTCATAAAGGTTATAAACTTTATGACTTAGATACCAAGAAAATAGTGATTTCTAGAAATGTTATATTTTATGAGACTGTTTTTCCCTTTAAAAATCCTTCCTCTGAACCTATACATACACCCTTATTCCCTGCTCCACATTCATTCACTCATGACTATACCTCACCAATAAATTCACACTCATCTCAGACCATCAGCACTACTCCAGATAACACTACTCAGAATCCCACTCAATCATTTCATATAAATCAAAACATACAACCTACCATCAGTAATCAATCACCTTCTGTCCATCAACACACACAGATCACCAACATTCAGCCTCAACCTATCAGAAGATCTACAAGGATTAAAACTACCCCTGCTTACTTACAAGCCTATAATCATCAACTCCCCTCTTCCTCTAACTCAGTTACTTCCACACAGTCTCCTAACATTTCTAGAACATCAAACTTATATCCCATTGAAAATCATCTCAGTACATCAAATCTGTCCACTGAACATACATGCTTCACCACATCCATCACCACTCATACTGAACCAAAAACATACAAACAAGCATCTGGCAATCCATTATGGCAGGAAGCCATGCATAAAGAAATTTCTGCATTAGAACAGACTAAAACTTGGTATCTTACTGACCTCCCTCCTGGCAAAAAACCCATAGGCTGCAAATGGGTTTTTAAAATAAAATATAAGGCTGATGGCTCTATAGAGAGATATAAAGCCAGATTAGTAGCCAAAGGGTATACCCAGGAGGAGGGCATAGATTACTTTGATACTTTTAGTCCTGTTGCCAAAATCACAACAGTTAGACTCCTCATTGCATTAGCATCCATTCATCATTGGCACTTACATCAACTTGATGTAAATAATGCATTCTTACATGGTGACCTAGATGAGGAGGTGTACATGACACCCCCACCTGGTTATTGTGATAAAAATGATCAAAGAGTTTGTAAACTAACCAAAAGTCTCTATGGCTTGAAACAAGCCTCAAGACAATGGTTTCATAAGCTTACTCAATGTCTACTTGCATATGGATTCTCTCAATCAGTTTCTGATTGCTCTCTTTTCATCAAAAAATCATCTTCCTCATTTCTTGCATTATTAGTATATGTTGATGATATAATACTTGCTGGAAATGACATTTCTGAAATTCATGCTATCAAATCTCATTTAGATAATTGTTTTACAATTAAAGACTTGGGACAACTGAAATATATTCTAGGTCTAGAGGTTGCTCATTCTGCTGCAGGTATAAATATTTGTCAAAGGAAATATGCCCTTGACATTTTACATGATTCTGGTTATTTGGGCAGTAAGCCAGTATCCACTCCCATGGATGCCAATATTAAACTTACTGGTAACAATACTAAAGATTTACCTGTAGATGCCACTGTTTACAGAAGATTAATTGGTAGATTACTCTACCTCACAATCACTAGACCTGATATTTCATATAGTGTCCAAAGTCTCAGTCAATTTCTGGTCAATCCCACTCAACAGCACTTGACAGCAGCACACAGGATCCTCAGGTATTTAAAACAGACTGTGGGCCAAGGTATATTCTTTCCTAGATCTTCTTCTTTAACTCTTACTGCATATAGTGATTCTGATTGGGCTGGCTGCATAGATTCTAGAAGGAGTATTTCTGGTTATGCTATATTTTTGGGCAACTCTTTAATATCTTGGAAATCTAAAAAGCAACCAACAATTAGCAAGTCTTCAGCTGAAGCTGAGTATAGAGCATTAGCTTATACTAGTTGTGAGGTACAGTGGTTGCTATATTTACTTGATGAACTTCATATTACTCATAAGTCTCCAGTATGCATTTTTTCAGATAGTAAAGCTGCACTTTCCATTGCCACAAATCCTGTCTTCCATGAAAGAACAAAGCACATTGAACTGGATTGTCATCTCATAAGGGAAAAGATTTCCAAAGGCATCATCTCAGTTGCTCACATTCCTTCACAGCAGCAGATAGCAGACATCTTCACTAAACCACTATGTTATCCTCTGTTTTCAGCTCTCACTTCCAAGATGAACTTGAAAAATATTCATGTTCATCTTGAGGGGGGTAATAGATTATGTACAACTAATTATGCCAAATGTACAAACACTTATGACTTTATGTTTTACCTATTCATTGTAGGCAACCTATTTTGTAATATTTACACATGTGTCCCATGTATATAAGGGAAATGATGTATAAGACTTATTCACTTTTGTTCAATACAGAAAACCTAATTTTCCTCTTCTTCTCCGATGCTTCTCTACTTTCTCTTTCTCTCTTCTGTATGATTTGATGAACATTATTAAATACTTCAAAATATGGGAATAGGATTTGAGTTTGATGCATTCTCCTTGTACATTCAGAGCATTCACATTAGAGATCAGAAATTAGATGCCAGAATTAAAACATCTCTTTTCAAGAAAACTTTGTAGTGTTGGAAATATTGAGCTTTGCATCAGATCATCATGGCATACCTGCACATCAACCATTCTTTGAAATAAAACCATTCATTACTACAAAGTACAAACTTCTCTACAAAATTCATAGTTTCATCACACACATCCTTTTCTAACTATTAACATACATTCCTCTTTCTAGTACTAAAGGTTCAAATCAAGATTGTCCAATGATTTCATCTTTTCACCGTCATTCGAACTTTGATGCCCTTCCTCTGTATATCCATTTTCGACCCTCAACGAGTTCTTGCACGGCTTAACCGAATTTTCGAGAAAAGATCCATTCTTTCCTAAAAGATTGTATTTTTCCTTTTCGTATTCGGATATTGAGCATTCTTCTTCACTCTGTGTTAATACAGAAAAAGACCCACTTGTGCATTCGGATTCAACCATCGACCTTAATCGGGAAAGTCGAGCTTTTGCTTGCTCGGCCTCAATCGAGCAAGAACTGTATTGTGTGAGGGTTTCTTGTGCCTTTAGTAAAACTGATTGTAGGTATTTTCCTTGAGCTTCAATCCTTAGCTGCAAATGCTTTTGCACCTGAAAATGCTTTTGTAAGTCAAAGTAAGATTATGGGGTGTTTTCGTAATTTACGCTTTTGTCTACCTCGATTTGTTCATGCAGTTGCCTCTGCACCTCCATTTGGATTTGTAGAGCTCGAGTAATCTGTAAGTTTCTGATAAAAAATGTGCTGGTAAAAATCAGTTAAAAATCGATTCTTTTTCGCATTTTCATAAGATTGAATATACTGCATGAACTGAATTATATTACTCGTTAACGTGCTCTTTGGATCCGTCAAAACTCTCGCCAGTCGAGCGATTCCTCTGTTTTTCTCCATCTTCTGAACAAACAAAAATAAATAGATAAATGAATAAATAAATACAGTAATATAATAGGTCACTTCAAAAACCATATTTGAATCATTTTCTTGTACCTTTTTCCTTAGTTTGGTGGTGTGTTTGCATTTGTTGACTCTTTCCTGTTCTATATTTCTGCAAGCAGAATATGCAGAACATTTTCAAGAATCTTCAAAAACTAGAAATTTTCACTATTTTAATATATGAAGAAAAAAGTTAAAAGAAACTAACTTGTAAATGGCTCTTGAGATGATACAAAGTGAGCCCATTAATGCCTATCACCTTCTTCAATGATTTTGGTGTTGCCTCTGTTACAAAATACATAAAATTGTAAAAGATGATTCAATAGTCATGAAAATTGGTTACTTAGAAAATAGAAATAAAAAGGAAAAAAAAAAAAAATTGAAACTCAACTCTCCGGTCCTCCGAGTTGATCGACGGCTTTTACGAATTTGTGGTGAAGTTCTTGAGTCCATTTGAGCCTGGGTTTTGCATCTCCTGACAAAACCAGTTTCAGTTCTTTACTATTGACATCATAAAAAGCCATTGATGTTTGTATGAGAAGAATGTTATTGTGGTATTGTTAAGGGCTTTGATCATTTGAGAGATTGTAATTTTTTCTTCTTTTTTTTTTTTCAATGGTTACTTAGGAATTTGGCAGTCTATGATTCTACTTTGTAGTTTGGAGATGGCAAGACTGTCTAATGATATCACTCTATATATGGAAACATAAAGTGGGGTTATGTCTTCAAGGGAATATATGCTTTGTGGCCCTCTTGTTATTCTTTTATTTCTTTTTTTCTCCTATTTTCTCTCATTTTTCATTATATACCAAGCTTTCTTTAATGATGTGGTATTGTGGTTACAAGTCTTTTTTTTTTAATTCTATCTTGTTCTTTGACTTGAAAGGGGTGTGGAGAATCTATTATGCTGCAAAGATATGAGAAAAGAAGGAAAAAAAAAAAACACGTCCATTTGGAGTCTCAAAAGAAGAGAAAAGGAAATGAAAAGAAAGTGTGTGATTTGATTTTTTCTAATCACTTTTCTTTGTTGTGTATTATTATTTCCATTCATGATGGATAGTGGGTGACAATTTTTTTTAGAAAACCTTGATGAGCTTTTGATGGAAAAAGGGTATTAAAATGTATCTGCATGTGTGATGAGCTTTTTGTTATGGAGAGATCGGATGAGACCGACTTATAGAGAAAATATTCGTAAATAATATATTGATATTTGTTCGAAAAAATATATTTTCAAGACATACATCAATATATTAATTAATTGATTACTTCTTAATGGAGTCATTCATTGTCTGCAATTCTGCATAGAAATTTGCACTTGCATATAAGTAGAAAAGAAAATCATATAAGGGCGGAAATGTTTAAATAATACCCTTCTTTTCACTAAAAAAATAATTCGTTTTAATAATTTACTAAACACTAAATGAGTTTAGAGTATGAAAAATCTTTTATTCAAAAGAGGGCAAATGTATAATCAATTGTTATTAGGAATGATTTGCAATTCCCACATAAGTCTGTTTTCTTTATTATGTTAGACAAATGGTCATCTTAATGATGATGATTTGGTGGAATTTCTGTTTTAAATGTGACCAAAATAATTTTATTCCTTTTCTTTTTCTTTTTTTTTTTTCTTATAATTTCAATTATTATTTTTTAAAACTTTTTCTTGAGGGGGTATGTATTGATTGGCTGGTTCTTTTTGTCCTATACACCTATAAAAGGAATCAGAGAATCTGGGGTTGGATTTTAGGACAAGCAAGTAGTTTTGTGAGCAAAAAGTGCTTTTTAGAAAAGATAAAGTGATGATAATATAGGATAGTGATCCATAATGACCTTCCAAAATCATCTTCTATTTATTTTTAATAGTGCTAGTGCGTGGCCCGATACGATTGTATTATAAATTAAATATATAAAAAATATTAATTATGATTTATTTATTATTTTTAAATTAAATCGAGTTGGACACAGTTCGACCGGATGGATCGGGAATCGGTTTATAACCAGTCTAGTTCGCTTGAATAAAATATTTGCTATTGAATTCTTTAAGACTGATCGGTTGGACTGGTAGGATCGATACGATTGTCTAAATAGATTTTGCTACATTTAAAATTATTTTAAATAAAATTACATATTTAAATAAAATAGAGATTTATAAACTTTTTATCAATTAGTTTAAACATTTGAATTTATAAATTGTTTAGATATTTAAGTAATTATAAAATATTAAAATATTTATAAATTAAAATCTAAATAAACCACAAATGATATAATAAAATAGATTTGATTGTTTTGATGAGGATCCGATTCTAAAAACCTTATACTTACTGTATATTAATAAAATTATAATAAAATATTATTTTATTTACATAAATATTAATAAAATGATATATAAGTATCTATAAATTATTAAACATGTTGTCATAAAAGGATGACATGATTTTCCAATTATGATCTCTGATTCTTTGTCCCAAAGAACAGTAGTGACATTTGCAATAGAGTCCGAGATGAGCAAATTAATCTTGTATCTATTAAAAAAAATAGCATGAAAAATTCATCAATTATGACAAAGAGAATGAAGTAAATCAAATTCTTCTTTCAAAAGACTCCTTGTAAAAAAAGGATATTCTATCTATTCCAAGATAATAGTAAACAGTTATTTGAAACTTGAAATCAAAATTTGGAGACATCTGAATTTTTGGAATACTTCAAAAGAGTCCGAACTATGTGAAATTATGAAGTTGATTTGATATTGAATTCAAGATCTGTCGGAAATTGAAAAAAAATTCATAATTTTAGGTTGTTCAATTATATAAATCTATGTGATTTGATTTTTTCCAAATCAAATTGTAGATGAGCCACATTTTACATCTATTATATGCGATTATTTATTATTCGATTTTATGGCAATCGAGTGGCAAGGAATTTAGAATTTTAAATTATCAATTAAGTATTGCATTCGATTTTCTTTGCAATTAGTTTTTTTGAATAAAAAAGGAGAAGACATAAAGTTTATGTCTGGTTTTATAATATGACCCATTTTTAATATTTAATTATATAAAGTAAAATATGAAATATAATCTATAGTAGATTATGTTTTGATCTAAAAACTCATATATTATGCGTGCCTGTAAATTAGATACACAATAACTGATTTTTTGGGAAATGAATTAAAACATAAAATAAAAAATAGCTAAAAAATAACCGATTTAAGGCCAACCGATTTTTTGGGAAGTGAATTAAAACCTAAAATAAAAATAGCTGAAAATAGTATGTAATTAATATGTGTTGACTTTTTTTTCTTACTATTTATGGTAAATAGTAAATCTTTTTATATATATACTAGTACAGAGCCCGTGCGATGCACGGGGTGCACAATTTTAAGGCTATTTATCCAGGTTTATAATTATATACATGAATAAAGAAAAATGTACGGGATATATATAGTACGTGACCCGTGCGAAGCACAAGATATATTTATTTGGAGAATATTATATTATAAGATGCAATATTCAATAAAAGTTTATAATACGCAAGAAATTGTACAATGTTCAATAAAAGTTTTATAATATTCAAGTGGAGTCTTAAAGTCTCTTGTACATTAAGACTACTGACAAAATAATATTTTAATCAATGAGTTTCCTTTCCTTGTACCCAAATTGTGAATGTTATTTGAGGAGTACAACAAATCGATATATAGCTGACTTGCTTTTTTCATTGTAGTTTTTTTTTTCTTTTTTTTATAATGAATTTAAAGATATTCTAAAATATAGCAAAAAATAATTTTTTATTACAATTAGGAATTTTACTAAATATAAACTCTCAATCTATGGTGTTAATCAACGTTTAAGTCTAAAAAACAATAGAGTTATTATAAGTTTTTTTTCTACATCTTTTAAAACATTAAATATGAGCATGTTAGGGCTAGCTTGTAAAATAAGTAATATATTATCTCACTAAAACATTTATACTAATAAAAATTTAATTTTAGCATATAAATTTATCCCTTGATATAAGAGAAAGTAACAGTTTGACTTATTGTTGTTCACCATATAATATTTAATTATTATTTTATTACATAATAGAAAAGGAATATTGTTAAATAGTGTAGTAGAATTGTTATAAAATTATATGAATTTTTTTTTGCAATATGAATTTAATATTTTTTATGATTTGATAATATAAACAAATCTATACTTAACTTTGACAAATAAAACAAATAAATACTTTAGTAAGTATTTAATGTATATACAATATAGGAATATATTTGGTATAATCAAATACCAAATTTAATCAAATAAATCAAAGTGTACATTTTTATTTGGTATTTGAATTTTTTATTATTAAAAACTTTTTATTATACTTACTTTTTTAAAATAAAACAAATAAATAAATCAATTAAATAAATAAAATATTATAATACCAAATAGTAATGACATTTAATGAAGTTGACTTTTCTGGATAGTAAATGTAGTAAATAGAATATCCTTTTATATAGTATAATACGGAAATAGTAATGCAATAAATGCTGTTGACTTTTCTGGCTACTTAATTTGGTAATAGTACCCCCTTTAATTAATATAAGTATAGATATATATATATATAGATATATAGATTTTTTTATCTTCAAAAACAAAAACTGAGCAATTAAGAATAAAAAAAAAAAAGGAAAAAACAGAGGAAAATTGTGTTTTTGCAGCTAAAACAAATGATCTTTCAACATTATAAAAATGCTACAAGTTCTAATGAAATTGTGTACATAGAAAAACCTCCTAGAACAGAATAATTTTAATTGTGAGAGATAACATATTCATTTAATTTAGCTAACTAAACTAATTAAGTGATTTCAATTTTTTTTTTCCAAAGATAGATTACTAGCTACATTCTACAAATGGAAGCAATGTCCTCACTCGATTTTTTACTCTCGAATTATACACATCCATATGAATATATATTGATCCAATAATGAAATAAACCGGGCATATAATACGAATTTTCGGATACTGTGAGAGTAAGACTTGCAGACTGACAAGAACAAAACAGAAGAGAAAGAATGATTTGCGACATCTAATCTGATGTCTTGCGGCTCGCCCTTCTCATATATATATAAATGTACAATTAGGTTTTACAATAACTTGGTCCTTAAGAAACTAAGATAATAAGGGTACAATAGAAAATATCTAATGCTAAATACTAAATACATCAACACCCCCCCTCAAGTTGGAGCATGGGGATTCCGAATGCCCAACTTGCTAAGGAAAAAGTCGAACTCGCGCTTTCCAAGTGCCTTAGTAAAAAGATCAGCCAACTGTGAACGAGTGTGAACATAAGATGTCGAAACAAGGCCTTGAACAAGAGCATCGCGAACAAAATGGCAATCCACCTCAATGTGTTTAGTCCGTTCATGAAAAACTGGATTAGCGGCAATATGCAATGCCGCCTGACTATCACAATAGAGACGCATGGGCTGCGAATGGGGCACACCAAGGCTGTGCAGCAAACCTTTTAACCACTTAAGCTCACAAATAACAGTAGCCATAGCCCGATACTCAGCCTCTGCAGAAGAACGTGCCACAGTGTGCTGTTTCTTGGTACGCCAAGAAATCGGAGACTGGCCCAACTGAACAAACCAACCACTAAGAGACCGACGAGTAAGAGGACATGCAGCCCAGTCAGAATCACACCACCCAGAGAGTTGAAGATCAGAGTCAGAGCGAAGCAGAATACCTTGCCCAGGGGAGCCCTTCAGGTATCGAACAACTCGCAACGCAGCCTCCCAATGTG